TATGGGTGGGTTTGGGTGGGGCTGTGGTGGATTAACCTGAGGTCGGTATTGGTTCTGGTTACCCTGAGCGTGTCCCTGATGGACCTGAGACTGTTGAGCCTGAATTCCAATCCCATTACCAGCTCTTTGACCTTGATCAGCTTCTTGAGCCTGATGCTCATTCCCAACTTGCTGATTCATTCCTAACCTCTCCAAGTGAACAGCTCTTTCTCTTTGTCTTCTGGCTTGGCTTCTTGTGATCATAAACCTGAGAACAAAGACAGAACTTGAAAGGTGATCAGTAAAACAAAAGAAACTTGATCTCAAAAACTATATCAGAAACTAATGCTAACAATCCCCACACAATATGGCAACGGCGCCAATTGATAGTAGGAATTTTTCAATCCTTGATCAATTCCTCAACTACTCATGTCATTGTAGCACTTGAGGTATCAATCCAAATGGAGAGATTCTAGACACTAGAACTATGAGGAGCTATCTTAATTCAAGTCTAATAAGCAGGTGAGTTGGTAACAAGGTGATCTATAAACATTAAACAAACACAGACAAGCAGTAATTAAGAACAATCAACAAGTTAAACAAAACAAACACTCAAATTCAAATAAGGATAAAGCTAAACCTCTAGATGTGATCATTGATCAGGGTGCTTTAAATGTGAATTCATGAAGCTAAGCAAACAATGCAACACTTGCAAATCTTTAGTCTAGACTTCCAATTCAGATTAATTCATTCTCATGACAGAAATCCCTTTGTTAATTACCAATTCAAGACTAATTCCCATTAGATGAATAAACAATCAACAAGCATAAGGGTCCAAGTCTAAAATGACCAGACAGCCTCTTTGTGCATCAAAATAAGAGCTAAGAAAGACTGAATCTTATACAGAAAGATAAAGCAAGCATCACATGATCTCAAATCCAATCAACTTAGAGTTTAAAGCTAGATTAATCCTCTCATGAAGGTATTAATCTCTATACTTATCCATTTTCAAACCAAATTCCCATTTGTGAAATATGAACTAGTAAGCATTAAGAATCAACTCTAATATGTCATTTATGCAATTAACAAACATTCCCATGGCATTAATGCATAAACCCTTAGTTAGCTTTCATTCAGGCATTTCATCAAACACTTTTGGTGCATGAAAAACCCAGATTCTAGACCCAAGTGATGTGCAAGGATCTAGCATTAGGATCAGCTAACTAAGGAAAGGAGAAGAGAATCTAAGCTTAAGCAATCATTAATCTACATCTAAGCACTCTAATCTACACACCTAGAAGCTTAAAAGATGACTACTCACTAATCATGAAAAACACATCTAATCTTTTGCAAGAGATGATGTTAATCATGATTAGAAGCAGAAATGAGATGATGAGATGATAAGAAACAGAATTAGATTGATTAAATCCTTCAGATCTCTCTTAATCAAAAACGTTTTTACACTAAAAAGGAAAGAAAACTAGAGAGAATTTAAGAGAGAAGATAACCTCCCTAGGGTTTTTCTCCAAAAAGCTATATAAACTAAGTGCTAATGAACCGGGTCAGCCCGGAACAAACCGGGTCCTGACCCGGCTTTAGTGGGTAAAGTGGAATTACTGCAGGTTGGTCCAGTGTCTCCCAGGTAGCATGCCCAAGTCGCAGTAGATGAAGAACTTATCTTGTGAGACTTAAATCGCTTTGTCTTAGCCGCACGCCCAAGTAGGAGTGTTTTGCGAGTCTTGCTGCGGCTTAATCTTCTTCTTCTTCAACTCGCAGGACCAAGGCGGTTTCTGGGGAATGTACAAACCGTGCGGCTTGGTCATCCCTAGTCCCAGGTCGCAGGCTTAAGTCGGAGTAAATTGCGAATGATCATGCGGCTTGGTTCCAGTGTCTCCCAGGTAGCATGCCCAAGTCGCAGTATTGTGGACTTAGCAATTTTCCTGCTCGGGAGCCTCAGACCTCATCCATTGATAGCTTACCCGCACTTCTCAACTCGCAGCATCAATTTCTAGGCATTCGTCTTCAGGCCTGCGAGTTAACCAAGTCACAAGGCTTTCTCGCAGCATTCAGAGCAGCTTGGACCACTTCGCATTCCGGAGAGTGTAACTTCTACGATACTTGTCCGAATTGAGTGATTCCGATTTCAGAGGACAGAGGACTCATAAATAGCCAACTTTGGTGAAGGAAGCTTCGGTGCTTGGGAAGTGTAAGGCTTGCTGGAGGGCTCAACTTTGCAGTGCATTTACACAATCAGAGAGAGGCGTCTAGACATGTGTCCATTCCGGAGATCGTATCTTCCTGCTCATAGCTCCGAATTGAATACTCGTGGACGTTCTGGAAAGAGGACGCAAATGGCTGTGATTCTCATGAAGGCCCCCGAAACTGAATCGGCCTAGACGTGCACCTTCCTTCGCATTCTTCGGAGCTCATTGGTTTGGTCCAAAACGGCAGCGAGACAGGAGTTTCTTCCGCCGAGCTTAACTTTCTGCTCACGCGTCCGAATTGAGTGATTCTACTTGTTATGGAACCGTGATCTAACCCTCTAAAACTTTGATGAAGCCCCCGACAGCTGAATCGGACCGGAAGGTTCCCCGGACAGGCGATCATTCAGGAGTATCGGATTGCTCCGGAATGGATGCGAGAGAGGTCTGTCTTCCGGTGACCGTATCTTTCAGCTCAGTGCTCCAAATGCCTTTATTCAACCTGTCCTGGGTTCTTGACTCAATTATCTCCAACTTTTCTGAAGACCCTGTAAGCTGAATCGGCCGGCAAGAGCTTGCGGTGACGCAATTTCGGAAATGTATCTGCACCCGGGATTTTGGCCGAGACACTTGACCGCGGTACGTGTTTCTGGCCGAGAAAGCTACCCGCGGGAAGGATTTTGGCCGAGAATCTTCGGCCATCAGTACATCATTTTGCCGAGAAACCCAAAATTGCTCCTTTTCACCATTTTTGATAAGTTCAACTCCATTTCTTCATCTGAATCACATCCTCCACTCCAAATAAACTCCAAAAGCACCTGTTTAACACTCCAAAACATGCAAAACTCTCTTGGACATAATGCAATCTCCTAAGTCCAAAAACAATGCCTAAAGACCTAAAATGCATGTAAATGAGACATGATTTGGACTAGAATATGTACATTAAATGATGCAATTTATGAATATATCATTCATGTCTATGAGATTTATGCATTTCCTATTTTTGTTCTCACTTAACGAGTTTAGGCTTTTGCTTTGTTTGAGGACAAACAAAGGTTTAAGTCTGGGGGAGTTGATAGCACCGTATTTTGACTACTTTTATGGATCGTTTTGAAATACTTTTTCTATGTTTTTAATTGCTTTTAAGTACTTTTATCACGTTTTTCTAGTATTTGTAGTTTCAAGACTCTTTTCAGGAAACTTAGGGAAAAGCTTAACAAAATGGATAGAAAACCAGATTTCAGCTCAGAGTCAAACCGTCAGAATTTCACCCCTGATTGAAGGCCTTCTCACCGTCTGATCAAGCTCAAATTTGGAGACATTAAAGATGGAAGTATCACCTTTCCAGTGCACTTTACAGCTTGGCAATCCAACGGTTCAATCAAAAGATACGCGAAAAGCAAGATGTCCCGTAAACCAGCCGGCAAGCACTTCCACCCACGGTCAACAAGCAATTTCCAGCGGTGAGGAGCATCCCGACCGCGGCCAAACACTCATTCCCCGCGTTCACACTTGTCCCGACCGCGGCCATCAACTTCCGAGCCCAAAAAGCCCATTTCTGAAGCCCACATTTGGAGAAACCCTAAGTGACGTCCAGAGAGGTCTTGAGCACTATAAATACATGTCTTAGGAACCCTAAACGAGGTGTAACCTATCACCACCGAAATATTTACTTCATAGTTTTATTGTTTTTGCTTTAACTTTTAGGGAGAGAGATATTTGTTCTCTTGAACCCTTGTTCTTTCTTTTTCAATTTCGGTTTCTATTCTACTTCTTAATACTATGTCTTTGATTTCGTTCATTATGTATGAGTAGTTTTATTGTTGGGATTAAGGGATTTTCGATGGGGATTTATATGTTCGATGAGGATTCCATGAGCTTTTGAGCCGAATCTTAGAACTTTTTCTTCTGAATTCGTTTTTACTGCATGAGAGTAGCGTCATGAACTACAATCTGATCCAGATGCTTGGTGACACGAAAGTGTTCATCAGGTATCAGATCTAGTTTGGGAGAGCAAAACAAACATAGGAGTTGAAACCTACCTATGGGCGATTTGTGAATTAGGACGAGTCTTAAACATAATGCATCTCTTCTCTTCCAGGGCCAGAGTGGAAACCAACTGGTCAGGGTTGAGAGAGATAGTTGTCTATGATCACAACACTGGCGTATTCATACGTCCGTGACTCCAGTTCGAAAAGTTTAAGCTAAGATCTTATAAATTTTTCTCTCCAGCAATGTTTTGAATCGTTCGTACCCCTGAGAAAATTTCCCTGAACTCCAACGCCTTCTTTCCCATTGATTTACACCGATTTTCTTTCAAGCTTTAGTTCAATATTGTCTTTCCTTTTTAGTTCATTTTCATTTAAGCAATTAGATATCCGTTTTTTACATTTTTAGTCATTTTCGTTAAGTTTAGTTATTACGTCATTTAATTCCCGTATTCTCTTTTAATATTCGTTTTTACATTTTAAACACATTACCAAACCCCCACAAAACCGTTTTGGTTCTAGACTTCCTTACTTTATACTTATTATAAGGCTTTTTGCAGGAAAAGATCCTCCTTCCCTGTGGATTCGATCCCTAAGTACTACAATCGATCAGCTGTGCACTTGCGGCTATTGATTTCAATTAGGGTAAAACTTGACAACCCTCGACACAACCACCAAGTCACCATCACATAGTCGGTTCTCATAGAACAAAAATCCATCATTTCGGAAATATTTGCCATAAGCGAATTTTTCACACGAAAGAAAGACTTCCTGAAAGTCTGGGTCGGTGGCATAGACGTCTTTGATCATCTCAAGCCCAAGGTGCATAGCGTCAAGACAAGGCATCGGCCACCACATTCTCTTTGCCTTGTTTGTACTGGATTACATAAGAGAACGTCTCTATAAACTCTACCCACCGAGCATGCCTCTTATTCAGCTTCTGTTGTCCCTTAAGGTGTTTGAGAGACTGATGGTCGGTGTGGATCACAAATTCCTTCGGCCAAATATAGTACTTCCAGGTCTGAAGTGCGCGGACTAAGGCATAGAGCTCCTTATCATAAGTCGGATAATTCAGCATGGCTCCACCAAGCTTCTCACTAAAGAAAGTAATCGGCTTCTTTTCCTGCATCAGTACGGCTCCTATACCTACACCAGAAGCATCACATTCAATCTCGAAAGTTTTGAGAAAATCTGGTAAAACAAGTAAAGGGGCGTGAGTAAGCTTGTGTTTTAGCAGCTGGAATGCATCCTCTTGGGCTTGTTCCCACTTGAAGCCCACGTCCTTCTTGATGACCTCAGTTAGTGGTGCAGCAATGGTGCTGAAGTCCTGAACAAATCGCCTATAGAAACCGGCTAGGCCATGTTTGGTTTTGAAAGCGGTTTCCACTCATCACCTTCCTTCATCCGGATTTGGTGATAACCACTTTTCAAGTCAATTTTCGAAAAGACACTAGACCCATGTAACTCATCGAGCATATCATCTAAGGTGGGAATGGGATGGAGGTACTTAACTGTGATGTTGTTGATAGCCCGACAGTCTACGCACATCCTCCAGGTTCTGTCCTTTTTCGGCACAAGCAAAACGGATACCGCACATGGACTCATGCTTTCCTGGATATAGCCTTTCTCCATAAGCTCGCCAACCTGCTTCTGAAGCTCCTTTGTTTCAAGTGGATTGGTTCTGTAAGCTGGCCGGTTCGGTAATGAAGCTCCATGTACAAAATCAATCTGATGCTTGATTCCTTGGATTGCTGGTAAGCCGCCTGGGTTGTCTTCCGGGAACACATCAGAAAATTCCTGCAAAACAGATGAAATACTGCTCGGAAGAACCGGCTCTGGGTCAGATATGCTAGTCAAAGCATCTTTAAACAAAAGAAGAATGAAAGGCTGCTTAGAAAGCAAGGCGTGTTTAATCTCACTTGGCCTCACAAATAAAGAAGTGTTTGATCTCCCGGTTTACTCTCAAAGGCCATTTGCTGGGTTATTCTCAGACTCTCATTCTCAGTTGAAGGGGTGTTTGGGAGATCACTCACAACGGATTTTCCTTTGCTGTTCTGCTCGAGTCGGAGTTGGTCAAAATATACCTCGCGGGGAGATAACGGTACAAGGGTAATCTTTCGGCCTTTAAACTCGAAGGAGTGTTTGTTGGTAAAGCCGTCGTGTACTGCCCTCCGGTCATACTGCCATGGTCTCCCGAGTAATATATGGCCGGCCTCCATGGGTAACACATCGCACACCACTTTGTCCTCGTATCGGCCGATGGCTAAAGACACCGAAACCTGCTTAGTAACCTTCAGCTGCCTCTGATTGTTTAACCACCTAAGGCTGTATGGCTACGGATGTTTCCGAGTGACAAGGTTCAACTTCTCCACCAAGGTAGTGCTAGCAACGTTCGTACAGATTCCTCCGTCTATGATAAGGCTGCCCACCTTTCCCTGAACAACACATCGGATAGGTTTTCCCGCTGTTCCTCTTCCTTGACCGGTTCCTGAGTTAGCAAAACTCGTCTGGATACGAGCAGTTCACCCTCAGCTGCATGCTCCTCATCATCGTCAAAAACCGGTCCGGTATCCTCCTCGTCATCTGACACAACCTCGCCTGAGTCAAGTAAAATCATTGCCCGCTGGTTTGGACACTTGTTGGCGTAATGCCCTTTGCCTCGGCACTTAAAACATTCAATATCTCTGCTTCTGACCGGATTAGCCTCGGTCTTGCCTTTGTATTGGGATGCGAATGAACTGGGCTTGAGATCTGGCTTGGACTTTGAATCGGACCTCGGCTGATAGCTTGGCTTTTCGTCTCTATAACTGGGCCGCGAACTGGAACCATAAGTTAGCCGAGAAGTGCCCTTTCTCTTAAGCTGTTGCTCCACCAACACGGCCTTGTGTAGCATCTCGGACATGTTTGCATATTCCTGCAACTCCATTCGATCCTGTAAGTCCCGGTTCAGACCGCTCAAGAAACGCGCCATGGTAGCATCCTCCGGCTCTTGTACGTTGGCTTTAAGCATAAGCCGTTCAATCTCCTGGAAATAATCATCCACACTCTTTGTACCCTGGGTCAGTCCTCGAAGCTTAGTGTGTAGCTCACGGTGATAGTGTGTAGGAACAAAGCGATGCCTCATCAGAGCTGCCATCTCATCCCATGTACTAATGGGTCGGTCTCCATTCCGTCTTAGGTTCGTCACAATCTGATCCCACCAGTCGACCGCATAACCATGGAACTCGGTCGCAGCAAGGTTAATCTTCTTTGTTTCGGAAAAGTTTTGGCACCCAAAGACTATGTCAATCTTTTTCTCCCACTCCGAGAACGCCTCCGGATCGTTTTTCCCGTAAAATGGTGGAATTCGAAGCTTAAGCCCACCGATGTCATTATCGTTCCGACCCCGAGTTTGAACTGGTTCGTCTCAACCTCGGTCTTGGTTCCGGCCGTCTTGTCTTGGGTTGCGGTCATGGTTCGGCCGATCACGATCCTCCCGACCTCGCCTGTGTTGAATCCTACTTCCACCCGAGGAGTTTCCGTCATTATAAAACGGGTTTTCGTCGACAACCTCTTCCTGGGCTTGAGTTCTCCTCTTCTGGCCCGTACGGTTTCGACCACCATCGCTTGGTCCGGATTCATCAGCTCGTCTGGGCTGCGTGGTCTCCAACCGTTCCATACGCCGGTTCATGCGACTCAGCATCCGAGTGATCTGATCCATTTTATGAACCATGGCTGCGTCCCTTATTTCTCCTGAATGAACAGAGGATGGATCTTCACTAGAAGACATGATGTACCTCGCAAAATGAACAAACAAGTTAATAAAAGTTTTCTCACTAGTGTTTCACTCATTGTTTCACTCAATCACTCTTAATGTCCTCACAATACTAGAAACTCTCCTCGGGTCTTGTAGAACTAGATCGAAAACTCGATTTAAGCCCAAACCAAAACAGAATATCAAGCGGATTATAAAGACAAACCGATTAGATAGACAGAAAAGATTTTCGTTTTTCAACCAGATCTTTTTTTTTTTAAGATCTGGGATTTTACAAAAGAAAGAGAAGATAAGGTGGAAGTTTAAAGACTATGAGAGGATAGATAATACCGATTTCAAGGGTGTGGCTCTGATACCACTTGATACAATCTTCCCAAGGAAATCACACTCTTGATCGGATTTGGCTGATAACTCCTTGACTCCAAACGGATTCACGGAAAAGATGCTAAGGGGTGGGTTGAAACCCGAAGATCCTTAGGCCCAAACTCGCGGTGAAAAGCTTGAAACAACGGGGTGACTAAGCTGGCTGATCGGATCCGTGGAAAAAGGATGTTAAGGCGTGAGAACTAAGTTCCCGAAAATCCTTAAGCCCCTTTAACTACTTGAACGTCCCAACGAGACAACTGGTGAAGGCTGCGTCAAGTGTAATGGGCGACACTTGATAAACCGAAATGATCAAATGGCTAACGACCAAGTAATCAGAAAAAGTTCACGAAGAACAAAATAGAGAAATCTCTAAGAAACTTTATTAAGGAAAAAGTGAATGAACGAGATTTGGGATCTCTACATCGTCTATATAGGGGAAAGAGCAGGCAAAAAGCCATACTCGGTAAAGACAATTTTATTAAATGAAGCTAAGACCGAAATAAATAAAGCTTGGACTGAGTCCTCGGCTGCCTTGACTACGTTGACTGACTCTTGGACTTCCAGCCGAGATGACTCTTGGAATTCTTCATGAGTTTGGGCCGAGAAAGGAATGTAAGCTCATAACCTCGTTTAAACCTCTACCCGGAAAACCCATTGGGACAAAACCGAGCACAGGAAAAAGAGTACCATGAACTTACATGCCGGCCAAACCTCAATCCCATTCCTGGTACAATACTGAGGTCAAGATGGCAAGTGTAAGTTGATCCTCATTGACCCGGCCATGAACATCCATGTTCCTGATTCCCTCAAGCAAACTCTGAACAGCTCCAGCAAGCTTCCGGGTCTTGGACCGCGTTAAAGGACCCTCCGGAACGACTAAGGCTGATTCCGGAACCTCCACTTGTGCCTCTGGGTCCATGATCACATCTCTAGATACAACACTTCTCGTGGCTCGGATTAAACCTAGGATCGGATTCTGGATGATCAATCCAGAATTACCGCTTTGAGAATTGGATGAATGGGAGAATCATGTTAAAAATCAAAATTCTTTTTTCCTAAAAACCTAGATGTCATTCGAATATGGGATCCCTTTGGATTACCCTTTCACCCAACTAGGTGACTACTCAGACATGGCTAAGGTAGACATCATCATCGGTTTAGAACTAAGAAGAAGAAAGGTAGAAGAAACAAAGTTGCAGAAAAACTTCTCTTATTGAAGACAGTATGGCGATGAAAAGCTTCCACAGATGCATTAAAGTAAAACCTAAAACTTTGAATGAGTTCTCTCTCAAAAAGATGAAAGAGGCTCTCTTACAAAAGATCTAAAAATCAGTATTTATAGTGTTTCTCCAAGTCTTGGGCGTCTAGGGCTTGTAAAATGGGTGCAAGAAGTGTCTTGGGCCTTAATTGGGCTCCCGAGGTTTGGACATAGGTCCACCGGGGGTGAAACCTCCTGAGCCGCGGGGGGAAGAAAGCAGGCGCGGGTGAAAGCACTTGTGCTTGACTGGGCTTGTGTTGATCGGCCTTCAATGCATTGATGCTATCTTGAGATCTAACCGTTGGATTGCTTTCATTCCAAGTGTGTTGGAAATCTGGTTGTCTTCTCTATAATGTCTCCAAATTTGGGGATGATCAGACGGTGAGAAGGTCTTCTTTGGTTGCCAAAATTCTGATAGCCTAAATTTATCCAAAAATGTACTTTTGCTCCAAAATGCACTCTAAAGTCCCAAGTTTCCTGAAAAGCCTTTTAAAACTCCAAAACAGGAAAAACACTTATAAAACCTTTAAAACTGAGTAAAAACACCTGCATAAGATATTGAAAGTGATTCATAAAAGTGGTCCGAATCAGGTTTTATCAACTCCCTCAGACTTAAACCTTTGTTTGTCCTCAAACAAAACCAAAGATCTGAAAAGAGGTTTGAAAATCGCAGGAACTAACAAAATCTCAGAGATCATGCTTCTTAACTAGAGTTAGTCATTATGCTCAAATCAAAGATAGTCTAGAAAATTCTCACCAAAGCACAAGCATAACTAGTTCGTTGATCCGTCATGCGAAAATCTACACACTTAAACCTATCCTCCAGTCAACTAGCTCTTAACATTCATTTATAAGTTCCAGTGGTTCTCATCAAAAGGATTTTAGCAAAGCAATCAACGCTAGGTATTCAAAATGGCTGTTTAGAAGGTGAGGCTTTTAGTGTTTAGGGTTACCTTTACTGAAGAGACAAGACATTATGCAAAACAGCAAGAAAGGGTGGAGCTGTTGATATCCACAGTTTCCAGTCACATTCTTCTTGCTTTAGGATTCTTGATCTCCCTTCTTCATGTTCTCCTCATACCTCTTCCAGACTTAGACTTTTGTCTAGTTTTTAAAACCAATGCTCACAAATGAATACTTGTAGCCTTTGCTTCAAATAATTTCAGCCATCCTAGACTCTTTAGGCATTTAGTTTCCTTTCCTTTCATTCTTTTTCTCTTTTTTTTGATTTTCTTCTCTTTTTTTTTTTTTTGCAAGGGGAAACCTCCTTTGGATGTATAGTCTTAGGAAGTACAAATTTTACCTTTAAATTCAAGATTTTTGAGGCATCATCGAGCTTTGATAGGATTGCTGATACTCCTCTTTCCCAAATTTCTTCAGTCCTTCTCTTGAGTGACTAAAAACTATGGTGTTCCTCCCTCTCCGGCGTTTTTGCACATATCTGCCAAAAGAGCTAAACAGAGAATGCATGAAGTTTGAAATAATGGTTCTGGGTAAAGGGTGTGGTACCAGATAAAGATGAACTGGCCATCTAGGACAACAAAGAGTGGTAATAATAATGTAAAGATGTCCTAGATGTCTGCTAAAGCCAATGATGAGAAAATTAAATGTCAAGATTATGTTCAAGTAAAATGAGCTAGTCTATCCTGTCAGGACAAGTCTCCATGAATAAAAATCCTCTGGTGGGAGTTAGTAGTGCAAGTACTCTAGCTACCGCCTAGTCTAGTACTATCCACAAAAGAAACTAGCATGAAAATTCTAGAAGCACATGGGTCTTACTGATCATAGTTTTGTGTCAAACATTCCTGAAAAATACTCAAGGTCTTTTAATAAGCATAGAAATTTTTTAAAAATTGCAGAAAAAGATAAGAAACAAAGAAAAATAGATTAGTTCGGATAGACATCCTCCCCCAGACTTAAATCACACTGTCCCCAGTGTGAAAAAGTTGGTGAGAAGATGGTGAAATAAAAGCAAAAGAGTCTAAAATAAAAGAAAAGAAAATGGTGATAGAACCGTGGGTATGATGTGATGATGGATAGGCGCATATGTCTCATGGCTGTCATCTGTCTCTGTAGATGAGGAGTCATCAGACCGGCGGATCTTCAGTAGTCTCTTCATGCGCCTGTTGATCTTCTCTTGCTGGTCAAGCTTCTTCTTCAAAGCTGCAAAGTCTGCATTAATCCTCGTGGATGCTCTGAAATGAGAAGAACTGGCTCTGGATGAGGATGGTGCAGGCTTTAGTCTCATGCTGTTTGCAGCTACCTCCCTCTTGGCTTTTGCAGCCAGAAATTGCTTCATGGTCAGAGGTAAGAGTGGCAAAGATGGTAGGAAGTCGCTGGTCTCTGGTTTCCACCCTTTGTCATAAACTCCATAACCCATCAGCTTCCAAAGATCCTCATCTGGATCCTTCTCCAATGCAATCTCATCACAATAAGGCAACTTCAAAGCATCACATATCTCTAAGATGGTAAGAGAGTAAGGATGACCTCCAATAGAGAAGGAGAGTGTGCCATCTAGAGCTCTAGGAGTAGCTCTCTTCTGGTAGCTCAAGGTTGCTGATGCAAGGAACTCCTTCGTGTGGTTCTCATAGGTCTGAAAGTTCTGCTCCATGAATAATCTCATTCCAAGCCTATCAAGATATCATATCACATCTTCTCTGATTCCAAGCATCTCAAGAGTTGAGTAGTCAATTTCTGGAGTTGGCTTGATCTTCAGCTTCTCAAGCTGTGCCAGGTAATCGATGTCTGGGTCTATGGC